TAACGTTACACGATCAGGAAGATCAAAACAAAACGTTCGTATTTCAAAAATCGCTTATTTCTCAAAAATTTGCATAACAAAAAAAATTCCTTAAGCAATTTTACTATAAATCCCCAAAACTAAATGAACTTTAAAGAATTTTTAGATCGTCACGTGATAATGAAATTTTGTTGGCGCATCTGGGTAAGATTTTTAGAGGGTTGTGTTTAGGGATGGGCAATTATACGATACCGTATAAAAAAAATAGTATAATAACCATATAATTTATATAGTATAATTAAAATTATACCATATAATTGGTATAATATGTGGTGTAACAAAATTAGCCAATAAAAATTAAAAATTTTTATTATTAAAAAAATTGATAATTTTAATAAATAATACTAATTACAATAATACTATATAATATATAATGGGAAAAAGAAGGATCATTATATAGAATCATTAGAAAATTCTTAAAGAAAATTAAAATAATAATCAAGTTAAGATCAAACTGAAGCTCAAGTTGAAGACCAAACTAATGGTCAAGTTGAATATCAATCTGAAATTAACAAACCACATCCTTATATAAAATGTAATTATTGTTCAAAAATTTTTGAATATAAAATTGTTACTTAAATGCAAATGCATCTTGATATTAATTATTTGGGAGCATCAAAAATACTAAATTAAAATCTAAAAAACAAACAACTATTTTAACTAATACATTGATATTTTATACTTCTATTAGTTTATATATTTAAAACAGTTAAAAACTATACTAATTCATAATTTTATAGATCATTTAAATACAAAAAAACAAGAATTTTTTGAGTTTATATTAGTTCAGGTCTTGTTTATAATAGGAATATCATTTGTTTTTCTTGAAAATTTTTATATAATAAAATTCTTTTATCATATTTATTCTGCATTTAAATTACCAAATCAAAAAAAACTTGCAGATGAATTATTAGATAAGGTTAATAATAATATTAAAAAAAATCTAATAAATAAATTTTAGAAGCATGTAGTTTATATATAATTTTTAATAGTTGGTCTAATATTAATTAGAAATCTATATAAAATTTTATTATTTGTATAACAAAACCTATTTTTTTTAATACTATTTATTTTGGTAAAGTCTCTTATATAGCAGAATAAATTGCTAATCAAATAATTAAACAAATAAAAATAGTTAATATTGAGAAATTTTCAACAATTATAACAGATATAGCTAATATAATAAAAGCAACATGGTGTATTATTGAAGAAAAATATTCTAATATTATTTGTTTTGGATATGCTTTTTATATTTTAAATCTGTTAATTAAAGATATCTTGAAAATTTATAATATAAAAATAGTAATTAATAAAGTAATAAAGTTGATTAAATACTTTAAATCATATCTATAAGTAATAACAAAACTTAAGCAAATTTAACTTGATAACTATAATAAAAAAATTGTATTGATTTTTTCAATAATAAAATGGTGGGATATTCATCTTGACTGTTTTTAATTATTTTAAAAATTAAGAATTTCAATTAAATAAATATTAATAAATTTAAGAATTCATGAAACTATATATACAAGTCTTAGAGTTTATATATTATATAATGAATTTTGGGAAAATCTAGATTTGATTGCAAATGTTTTACAGCCAATTGTAATTATATTTAAATTATTCAAATCAAATAATATTATACTTTTATCTATTTATTTTAATTTTAAAAAAATAATAAATACAATTTAACAAATTCTATATAATTTTTTTAATAAAATTTAAACTTTAATTGAAGAATAATGAAATTATGTTTATTATATTATTATGATAGTTAATTATATGCTTGATTTACGATTTTTAGAAGAAAGCAGAATTTATAATATAGAGTCTATAGAATATAATACATTTACAAAATTTATTAATCAAAAATTTAGACAAAAAATTCTATAAAATTATTTATTAAAATTGTTAAATTTCAAAACAAAAGTTCATCATATAATAATTATACTATTTGGGAATCAGTTACTAAACTTGATCCAGGTATTTTCTTTTTAATACATATTTAAATCATTCTAAAATCAATAAAATTTTATAATATTATTAACTAAAGAAATACAAATTTAATAATTTTATAACATTGTGATAGAAATCATAGTCTAATAATAGTTTTAAACAATTAGCAATTTAAATTCTTAAGATTCTAACATCATTTGCTGCAGCTGAATGAAAATTTTCTATATTTAATTTTATTTACAACAAGCTTGTAATTATTTATATGACAATCAAGTTAAAAAACTAATTTATATTTGTGAAAATCTTCAAATACATATAAAGAAAACAGTAAGCAATAGAATTGATATCAGAATTAATAAGAATAATAAGGTTATTTAAGAAATTTATAATGAAGATATAGAAATAGATGATATAATCTATAAAGAAAGAATCTGTAAAGGCATTAAAGAAATTGATTTAATCTACTTGTCTGATGTTGATAATAGTAGTATTTCAATAATGAAAATGGAATCATTAAATAAATAAATAGAATTACTATTGATATAGCCTAATTTATATATTAAATAATATTTTTTTAATAATTTTAAGCATATTCTGATTTATTTTTAAATATGTACTACATGCATATTTGTATATACAAGTGTATATATATAAACATTAAAATTTCAATTAAATTTAATATAAATAAAATAGTTATTTGATAGCTTTTACTTAATCATATAATTAGTTTTATATAACTTATATCTATATATATAATTATTATACTGTTATTTTATAGTATAATAACCTAGTATATATACTAAATCTTATTATATAATATAATTTCCATTCCTAATTGTGTCCAATTACATATTAATCTACTGATACTTTTATAAACTATATCCTTCTAACTAGATACAACTTTATTTTAGTTTGTTTTTTAAATTAATTTAACTTTTTGTATCTCCAACTCTTGTTGGATGTTTTATTTCATTTTTGCTTAATTTCATTTTTATTTATATTACAATACTTTTTTTTAAAAAAAATAAAACAAGATGAGATAATAATAAAACAATGATGATAATGAAATGAGAGAAAGATCCATATTTTAATATTTGTTTGTAGAAACTAGATATGTGATAAGAACTGTTGTCTTACTGAGTCACAACAGTTTCTACTACATCTCTAATGAAAACATAAAACTGTTACCACTCATTAAATCTACTAATTTTGCATGAGAAATTGACTATCTTAATTAATGTAACTAGTCTTGATCTTATATGTGAATGTAATATTAAGCATTGACATATGTTTAAAAATTTTAAGAAAATTTGAACATATTTTTTTTAAAGTTAATAAACATATGTTTAATATTAATACTATATGTTGTATATTATTGTGAAGGTACTAGCTTCTCAGAAATGTTTGGTGAAAGCAGTAGTAGGCTTGTATATAATGACAATATTAGTGTACTTTTTAACTATTTATTAATTTTGTTTTTTTTTAGTATATAATAGGTTATTCATTGGATAATATGTTGATTTTTTTCTTTTTTTTTAGATGATTTTTCTTTTTTTACTTTTGAAATAATATTTTTTTTTGTAATTTACATTTATTAAAAATTTTGTAAATTTATAATTAATTAATAAAATCGAATATGCAAATTATGAAGTAATTAAAGTTTGCTTAAACGTTATTTTCTATGCACTTAGCTAATAAACGTGATGATTCTCATTTACTACAATCAATCAAAATAAGAATCCATTAATATTTTATTAAATGTCGTTATCACTACATTTAGTTCGTTAACATTCGGTTGTTGCATAATAAGGTTGCATGATAAGGTTACTTGCGCGATCTCATTGAATACTCAATTAATTGTAAATTTTGCCAACCCAGGAATAAAAAAAAGATGGTCTGGCGCAAAATGTTTGTAAATTGAAATGATAAACTTGCGTAATAATTTTTACTAATAAAAATTTATTGATTATGTAATAAACTTTATTAAACTACAATGTTTATCTAAATATTCATTACGATGTTAAACACTTTTGACTCCCTCAAATTATTTTCCGCTAAGTAAAATTTGATTATATGGGAGGACTGTAATAACATAAAGTCAATGTAAATTTTGTTTAAAAATAATCTAATTTACTTTAGCTATTCTCTAAAGTGACAAAGGTAATCACCGATCGATGCACTAATTAAAAATGTTCAGTATGTTCTAAAACCTTTCACAAACCCTAATTTAAACTTTAAAAATCTAATCCTAGCTTTAATATTTAAGTTAAAAATTTTTTTGCTATTTTACATAATTCTATGTAGAAATATATATTTTATAAATAGATATGTAAATCTACATTGGGTTTATAAAGCTTTTGCAATTATACATAAAAATTCTACATAATTCTACATAATTCTACATAAAAACAATTTCATGATATATAGTACCCGAAAAAAATAAAACGTCTTTTCAAGAATGCTTCGGAAATTAAATACATTGGCTACGTGAAAACTCCGTTTATTATTTAGATTAGTAACAAAAAACTCCGACCGCCCGACCGAAATTTCGAATAACCATTCTTGAGACATTGGTTTCAGTCTGTTTTTCTCTCTAGTTTCATTTCTTTTTTATAAATACTGTTATTTTGTAACTACAATTTCAAAAGTTGAGAATCCACTTTCAGTTGTCAACCGAATCCTATACTATTAGCGTTGTTTAAGATCAGTAATTTCAAATTACGTATGTTACAAATTCTAGAAACTTATGATAACATAAAATATTATTAAATATTGCCGAAAATAGAAATTTATTAAGTTTTTTTTCAATTAAATTATAAATAGGACACGCAAAAATACTTTTTTTAACCCCGACCAAATTAATTATATAAATTATATCTTTTTGCGACCTTACTAATAATTTAATTTTTATTTTCTTCATCACTAATGTCATCATCAGTATTTGTTTCGCCAAGTTCTTGATAAGTTTTATTAAAGGCAATATATTTTTCACGTGTATTCTTTAATAATTCTAAGTAGCTTGTATCGAGGTAATATTCTTTTAATATATTTTCTAACACAGCAACTCGATGTTCAATAGAAGTATCAGGAGGTAATTTACGTGGATCTTCAACAAATGGAATACCTGCTTTAGAAACGTAATGTCTTGCAAAATGACGTTTTAAAATCCTCCGAAGTGGCCACCAACACGGAAATGTTTGACAATAACCCCTTTAATATAAAAATAAGTATCAATACACTATTTGTATAAATATAAATTTTGATTATAAATAGTCGAATACCATGGAGAAAGTCTTCTGGAACCGAAACATAAAGTGTATAATGCCGTTAATCCAGCATATAAACCTCCAATATTAGCAAGCAATGTAATGACTAAAAAAAAAGAAGTTATATAGTTAAACAATGACAAATAATATTTATAATATTTAATAATATTTCAAATAGTAAATCTTACAAGATTGACTATTTTCTTCAATATATCTCACAATGTGGTTTTTTGGTCTGATTATTAAAAGTGTATAAGAAGAATCTGTAATTGGCGACAATTCTTTAACTTCAACATCAATAAATGCCACTGTATTTTCAGATTTAAGACCAAATAATAAACCACGTCCTCGAAGCGTATAATAATCTCTTACTGATATGGAAAATTCAAGGACAACCCAACGACCACGGGGTATTAGAATCATATTGAAATAGAGATCCATTACTTTATCATTAATTATGATTTTACTGAAAATAATTCCAAAATAATCAGGAAGGGATGCATTTGGAGATGATGTGACAGTTGAATGATTCATTATTGATAATGAAATCATTCGGTGATTCGTTAAAGTAAAGCTTCGTATCATTACTGTCAATATTAGGATCTATATCATAAGCAATAAATATATTAAAATCTAATTCATCTAATTCATACATACTTGAGTAATATATTGTTAAATATAGGCTAGCTCACCTATATGCCAAACTGTAAAATCTGGTACAATAATTGAGTTAGTAAAATGATTAATAGAGTTTTTAAAGTTATTTATAAAGTATTACCTGGAAAGGTTATATTTTCGATGGCTTCAATAATGATACTCGGCTTTATATCGTTAAAGAATTTTTCTTGCAAGTATATATAATAGGCAGTAATAGTAATTATAAATAACAATATAGTTGTGTTCCTTAGTATTTTAAGGCAATATGGGTCTGCAGATCTATATGAATACATTTTAAATTTTTACGTATCGAGAAGACACGTTGGTAAATATGCTTCGAGTCCAGTAATTGAAATTTTATCCTCTGTATTTTTAGAGTCGTACAATGTTTGCATACTGTTTCACACAAATTTCGATACATATTTCTGTACTTGTCGGCTTTTTACATTTATCATTATCAAAAATCACGTTTAATATTTTCAATGGTATATTTTCCAGTTCGGAATTCTTTTTGCACATTTTTGGAATCAAATCACCCTTATTTTAATTAATTGGCTTAGCCACACAAACAAACATCAATATACTAAAAGGCGATTGGTAATGTTAATGTCGTGCTCGAATTTGCAACTTCAAGCGCCCAAAGTATCTGCCTAAAATTAACTAATGCATGCAAGATCTAATTCAGGAGCTAATTTCAGCCAGCTTCATGCAAGACATTAATAGCCATGAGTTTAATTCTTGCCAAAATTTTTTCATTTCTAGCTAATACAATAAAAAATAAATTTATATATGATACAAACTTTAAGAGTTAACACCGTCGTTAACAACTAATCATTTGCTATGTAACTCCGACAAAACTTAAATGAATACTGTACTTTTTTAGTAGTACAGATTGATAATAAGATTCAGTACTACCTTCTAAATACGTTAAAATCAGTAGATATTTAGTAAAGAAACAGTTACCAAAATTCTACTTTATATAGTTCGTTCAAAGTTTTAAAATGCTGTCTTTGGCTATAGTCTGGCAATATTTTTATTCAATTAATGTTATAGAAAGGATATTTGTTATCGCATTATTTTTACATTTAATTGAAACATGCGTATGGTATATATATGGTATTATTCAAGAAGGGGCACAATACCTTTTCGCCCTAGTACCATATATGTTGTCATTAGTTCTTTATCTAATTTCATTAATTATAACGGTATCTATTGGAATAATATTCACACATTATTTTTGCATGTAGTTTTAATTTAGTAGTTACTTATTTTATATATTTTATACAGGCTCGTGCAAGAACAATTTCATACACAACTATCTCAATGCTATTAAATGTTATGTTAAAGATAATAACAATTCAAAGAATTTCTGTCTGTTTTCATGAGAATTATTTCAGTTTTATACGCATTACTTTGATTATTGAAAGTATATTTGTTTTATTTATTTTTATAATCGCTATATATATGCATCGTCTGAGGTAAGTTGTTATAAAAGTTTCTGAAATCATAATTATCAACTTATAACAAGAAAATTCTACAGGAAGGATCAGTTTGGCATTAACAAGATTGCGTCTAAAAAAGTCAGATCAAAAGTATCACGTAAATTAAATTATTATTTTAAACTCTAAATCTTAACAGTATTTAATCTACTAAACTTATTTTCGTTTTATAGATCTTTATAGATGGTACAGATTTCAGGAGTTTCTTGCTTATTTACATATTTTTCATTTTTCATACCTTCTGGTGTTTTGGATATTTTATTTGTTTGTAGTGTCAAACTATGTCTATATAAATAATACTGAATTATTGGTACCATGGTATTTTGTATTACCTCCACTTATTGCATTCACAATGATCAGAGGGGTATTAATATATATTTAACCTTGTAATTTTTTTCCTTTTCAAAGACATTTAAACGTGTACTCATATATATATATTTTCTGATACTATATAGGTTCAGACGGAATCAAAAATCAAAATTACCCTATCCTATATTGCTAGTTTAGTTTTAGTTTTATTTTATATTTATCTTATATTATTTCTTGGATATAACAAATCCTGGATCGAATATTTTGAGCGCTTAATACTTCACTGTCAGCCCAGTATGTATTTTGTAGTCAAATATAGATTTTTTTTCATATTATGTTTGGAAAATTGCTAACATATATTTTTTAAAAAAACAACATTAATAGCAAGTCGGGCATTTATTTTCAACAAATTATTTTTTCTGTATTTCCCGGTATTCCTTATTTTTTTGACCCTTTTATCGGTAATTAATTCTACAATTTGTAAAAAAAATTTTGGAAACAATTTATACATATATTGTAAGTATTATTTTCATATATTTTATTTTTTTAAATATTCTATGTTGATTTATTATTTCATTTTAATTAGTAAATTATCAGCCGTGGTCTGAGATCTTGAAAGATTATGAATATGAAGATTATATTGATAAAATATTTAATAATTCTGACTCTTAATAAATTTTACAATATTTTTTATCTGACATATTCTATGATCATGAATTTATTTCTGTCTGTTATTTGTTTCAAATAATCAAATAACCACATTTACTCGAATTAAAACAAAACGTGCCGCTTTATATAATGTGGCCATTTTCCAAGTCTAATCAAATTACCGTTATTGCAGCTGTAACTTCAAGCGCCTGAAGTTGAAACTGCCTAATTAACTAACGCGGTCAAGAAGGATCTAATTTAAGAGTTTAATTTTAGTTAGTGTGCCAAATGGTAACTTCAAGCGGATGTCAACTTCAAACACGACATAACAACGATATCGAACTATTAGTACTAAATTTTTAATAATTCGTTATATTGTGAGCTGCAAGACTAATCCTGGAAGCATGTGGAAGGAGTAGCGTTGTTAGGCGAAACCATTTTGGGTAAATGGCGAAAGACTAAAGACGAAACTCCCCGGCGAAACTGGCGAAACCTGACGAAACCCTGGTGAAGGCAAAACCTCAGAGAAGGTCAAAACTCAGCGAAGATCAAATCCTCTAATACTTTGTAAAAGACTAAGCCATGTTGGTAAATGAAAATATTTTGCGTAGCTATTAAGTACGGCATGTGGCTTATATAAAAAATGTATAAACAAAGCAATAGCTTTTCAAATACTATTAAAAGAAAATTAGAATTCAAACATTTGATGAAAATAATTGGCGCGTGGCTCACATGAAAAATGTACAAAGTAATAAACAAAACGATAATCATTTGTTTGTATTCAATTACTATTAAAGAAAAGCTAGAATTCAGGCTTCAGAATTTGAAATTCAAAGCTTAAATGTTTTCTTTTAGAATCGCTTATCTATGTATTAATATTATATATAAAGTTTTAATTTAAATTTTAAATAAATTTATTATTAAATTGTTATTTTTTTTCTCTTTAACATTTCATTAAAAAACATTAAGTACCATGTATATGTATGTATTATTATTAGAGATGGGCAATTCGCGGATTCTCCAAAAATCCCGCGCGTGACGTGGATTCTTAAATCTAGGCGCTACAAAAAAATGCGCAGTTGATCCTCAATTTTGATTGGCCAACGGCTGTTATTGTCAAAATTTTGGTCCGCATTGTACATAATTTTGGCCGGAGTTTAATTTTTAATTGCAAAAATAGGAATTTTTAAGGTTTGAGTCTGTGTAATGGTAAAATTAACACAGGAACATACTTCATTTACGGTTGAAAATTACATTTATAGTACTATGAAAAATTTAGCCAGCATTATTGAACTTCAATAAAGTTTATTGATCAAATCGATGCGCATATGATCAAGGCGATCACATTGAATCATATGATAGAATGATCACGTTTATTACATAAACAAAGATACTAATGGCAAAAAATCAGATATATATATACACATGTGAAAAGGTATGCATATAAATAAATAAATAAATTCTGATTTGAAATTAGTTAAATATGTTAATGCAGGCCAGATATTATAATTAATGCTAGTCAGATGATATGATAATGCTGGCCAAAATATGAATTTATTTGAATATTTAACTAAAAAATCTATAAATTTGTTGTAAATAATTGTAATATTAATTAATTATATTAAAAACTATATTATATACATTAAAATATTAAACTTATTTTAAAAATTACTAATGCTCTAACATAATACAATTGTTAATTTTTGTTTTTTTTTGTTATTTATTTTATTTTTTTTAGTTATGCTATTTGTATTTTAGAAATGATTATCAAAATTAATATAAAAGAAATTATTAAAATAGTATAGAAAAAAATATTATTAATAAGTAAATTAAAATTTTTATTTAAAAAACATTTTAAAAATTTTACTATATAAATTACAAATTCTTCTTTTCTTCTAAAGAGAAAAAAAAACTATTATAAAATATGGAATCTAGTTTGTCTTATCTAAATAGTTTTTTATATACTAAAATCTAAAATTGATTAAGTTTGCAATTGACTATTACTAAAAAATTAATACCTATATAACTGATCTGAGTTATAACTTATAACTATATAATATAGTAAATCAAACTTACAACTACAGTAACTATTATTGAACAAAGTAAAGTATTAGTAAAAGTAATAAAAAACTATAGAATTATTAAACTAAGAGTAAAGAATACTTATTTAAACTCAACTCTATTTCTATTTCTTAAATTGTAATGTAAACAAATTTGTTTATATCTTTTATTTAAAAATTAATTTTTTTAATAAAATTTTAATAATTAATTTTAGTAATATGTTTTCTAAGTAAAAAATATTTTAAAAATCTATTTGATTAAGTTTTTTTTAGATTTATTAATTAATTAAGTTTAAAATTCATGTAACATTAAGATTTATTAATAAAATATTTTTTAGATTTTCTGAAATTTTATATATTTCTAAAACTAAAAAAATTTACTCTTATTATAAATATAAATTTTTATATATAAATTACTAAACTAGTAAAAATTAAAATTGTAATCTTTGATATAAATTAAAAATTGTATTAAAAATTATAGATTTAAAATTAATATTTAAAAAATTTATTATAGATGCAAAAAAATAATCCTTATTTTCAAATATTATTATACCAAATTTTATTTAAATATATTGTATTTTAAAAAAGTAGATCAGAACCAAAAAATGCAAACTTGTCTGCGTTGATCTACAATCTAAGGGATAATGTATACTTATCCTTCCACGCATTAATCGAAGCCTTACCAATATTAGGGTTTGGATATTATAGTTATAATGTTCTAAATTGAGCAATATAATAATAATAGTATTTGTGTGCATTAGTGTAAAGTTGTTGTTATTTCTACCCAAAAATTATTTTGAAACAGCCTTCACTTTTTCAACGTACATACTGTAAGTTAAATTATTGTCAGTGCGCTGTATCACGCAGCTAATTGTGGTGAAGCCTCCATAAGTGCATGTTCTTGGGACTAAACTTTACCAGCGTGCACTTAGAGAATAATCAGAAAATTGTTTTTATGGAGTTATGTATATATCAAGGCTGAAATTTGAGCGTGCATTTAGAGAGAGTGTGCACTTATAAAAGGGTTGTGAAGAATAATACATCTACATAATTAGGCATCATTTCACTAATTTTTCCATATTTCTGATGACATTTTTTATAAAACAATTTTGCATCATGAAGCTTTCCAATGAAAGGTGGTAAGGGGGAACGACCAGAGAGTGAATTAAATATTTGCAATAAAAGTTAATGATATAGGTAACAAGATTGGGATCAAAATGACGAGATAGTCTGTAACTCTCGAATTCAATAATCTTTTAAATAAACATTTTATTTTAAATTATATATTGATATTTTATATCTATATACTAACGTTATTATTTTATCGATTTTTTCGATTATTGAAAAGTTTTTTTAGATTACTTATCACAATTTGTGTCAGTATCAGTATTCAAAATTGTTACTAAATTATAATTCACCGAATTTTTATGCAAGGTTAGAGTCAAGAATGGGCATACGAGTTCACCCCAAACACTGTATGAATCATTTTTTATTAAAACATAAAAGGTGGCTTCTTAAATAAATTATGAGCATTGGAGAATTTTAAAAAAAAATTAAACCCAGGTTATGTATTGGTATGTATGCATGCTTACTTGATTGTTGTCTCCAATTACGCTCCATACTGATACACTTCTTCAAGGCATTTTAATATGCATGATTATTTAGTTAGTCATATACGTACATATTTACCAATTTTTGATTTTATTTAAAACAATTTAAAGAGTTTGAATTACAAGAAAAATTATTAGTTAAAACCAGACTACAAAGCATATCGGCTGATTTGGTAAGGAAATCCTATCTCCCAAGTTTAGAGTTCGTCAATTGTATTTGCATCACTGGGGAGATTGGATTTCCTTATCAAAATCAGTCGATACACATGCGATTTCTAGGTTTTATTTTGTATTATCGTTATATGTACATAGATTATTAGGATGCTGCAAAGAAAAAAAAAACTGTAATCATAATCATCGCATGTTTTAAAACGGTGAAAATGTTTTTTTACAATTCCTAATTGAGCAGGATTTTTGGACCCTTAACGGGAAATGAATGTTACACCACTTAAAAACAAATATTCTATGTTAATATTTATATTACTGTACTGCATTGCTGCATTAGTGTTATCGTTATTACATATCCAAACTTAAATTTTTTTTTTGTTTGAACGCTAAGCAAAATCAGTAAGTCTCGTTTTTATATCAACAAAACTGGTAAAACGTCGAAATTTTACTGATTCATTAAAATCTTAAATCTATCTTTTAGATGAATTTAGATGGGCTTATCTTATCTAACAGAGGTGAGTCACTATATTACCTTGTAAATAAGTAGGATAAATGAGAGATATCAAATGAAAACCAGAAAGTCTAAATATAGATTACTATAATCTATACTTAGATTTCCTGGTATTCTTCGAGATCGAGTGAAATACTCATGTAGCATATTAAAATGCATTTTGCGCTATTTTAATGCTTACTATATTAATGGCATTGCTATGTTAATGGTTTACCATCAAACTTAATTAATGTGTCTATGATGATACCCTTAAAACAAAAAGGACCTGGTGACGCTAATGATGACTCCTCTGCAATGAAAGTGGGTGTGATTTCTCAAAAATGCGGACTACTCTATTTCGAAGTTATTATAATAAATGGTGGAAATAATGGGTAAACGCTAAATTTATTCACAATACAAATCATTACTGAAGTTAAAACTCGCAAGTTAAAACTTAAATCTTTATCGTATACATATGAAAGTTTTTACGTACAAGATTAAGTCCAGTGCACTGATAATAATTTAAATATAAACTTGCGGGTTTTTACTTAGAAGTACTCAAATAAAATCAATACTTTTATAATAACTAATAATTGTTTAATAGAATTATTGGAATTGGGTTTTGCGGAAACATAGTTAATAGATCTGAAATTCCTGGTAATTAAAACTTTCATTTATTTCAACAGTCTATTTGCATAGTTGTTAAATATGTTTATTTTATTGTTATATTCACAGGATCAGAAAATACCTCTTGGGGCTATTATGGAAGTAATGGTGAAACTTCTTGCTGTTTAGAATACGGCAGACCATACGGGCCACCATTTACTACTGGTGATGTAATCGGGTGTTGCTTAAATTTTAAATATAATACGGTATTCTATACTAAAAACGGAGTGCATCAAGGTAATTATTATTTATATAATGCATATAACTGTATAATTCTAGGTTCTGATCATTTGATGTAACATGAAATTTTATAACATATTTTCAGGAATTGCATTTCGGGATATTGAAGGTGTTTTGAATTCCTGTATCTGGCTAAAATCACAAGATGCAACCGTAAAAATAAATTTTGGACATGAAAAGTTTCAATACGCAGGTGAATTTATTTGGCTCTGAACAATTTATAATTTATTGATCCAATATTGATGTTATTTTTTTAATAGCAATGAATAATGATGATATCAATGATGAGTTATTAAAGAAAAATTGGGCCAAAATTTTTGATTTATGCAGTGATGAATTAACAAAACCGATAGAGATTAAAACAAATGATACAATTTCATTAGGCTATCGAGGAAAAGCTTACTTTATTATGGGCAGATATAAAGAAGCACTTGCTGATTTCACAGAAGTGCTAGAAATTGAACCACACAATATATTTGCATTAAGATACCGAGGAGAAACTTATCACATGATGGGCAAGTTTAAAGAATCACTTACAGACTTTATCAAATTATTAGAAACTAAACCAGATGATTCATGGACTCTAAAAGCTCATGAAGGAGTTGCGAGAGAGTAATTATGAACGAATCTTTTTTTATCAGTATTTAATAAGAATCCACAATTAAATAATATTATTTCTCTACACAATTGCATACAGCTTGTAAGTACAAAATTCATTTGTATTTTATTGAATACTAATGATTGATTTATGTACTTAACACTTCATACATGATTACTATTAGCTTGTAAGTATTATGTTAAAATGAAGGTTTGCAATAGAATATGATTCTGATTAATTTATGTGCATTATATTAAAGGCAGTAAGTATAAATACAATTACATTGATTTCTAACATTAGAATTTCTTTAATATATATTAACATTATTCTTTTGACAATTATATGCATATTGAAATAAAGAGAGTAAGTGTTAGTTTATAAATTAATCTTTTATTCTCATCATATTTTTTAATCAATTATGAATGTATTGAATTAGATGGTCAGTATAATGTTTAATATAGTATTTATTCAACTATGGTTCGAAAATACTTAATATTTTAAATGTGCTTATTCAAGGGAGTAAGTATAAAATTTTGTCATTAAATGGTACTTACTTCTCTATTGTTTCTTCAATTAACACATCCTTTTAAATTAAAGCGAGTATGTATAAACATTTCATAAACTATTTGCTTATTTTTTACATTCTATTAATTAAATGTACTAAATTATGTTTTAGCTTGTAAGTATAAATTAACTATCTTTAGCTACAAAATCTGATCGTGACTAACTGATATGCCTATTCAACAGTGAGTAAGTATGAGTATTGTATTGTATTTCTGAACATTATATTCTAGATGACTTTATATTAAATATTATTTTATGTGCATACTAACTACTAGTGTGTGAGTATAAAGTTCAATTTATTTATTTAAATACTGACTCTCCATACTAATCCGCCCTTAAATATTTGATTACCATGTTAAATTAAAGAGAGTAAGTATTTTTTTAATAAAGAATGGATGCTTTATTTTTTTTAATCTAATTTAAAACTTTAAATTATTAGTATGTAAGTATAATGTTCAATTATAAAATTTACGATTATAAAGATCCTATTTAATCTCAATTTGCTGTATATTACATAATTAGATGGTATGTTAAAACTTAAATGTATTATTAAAACAAAATAAGATATCTAAAAATCTAACATTTTAAATTAAAGGGAGTACGAAATTTTAGTTGTATCAATTTATGAAAACTTTGTTTAGTAAGAAAACTTACTAATAAATATTTTTCATAAATTACATATATTAAATATCAAATTAGATGGTAAATATATTATTAAATTACAAATATTATAAAAATCTATAATTAAATCTTAATTATTTATGTCAAATTAGGTGGTAAGTATATGCAGAAGCCAGAAATTGGGCCTATTTTTAATATGAAATTTTTAGATTTTTTTGGAGGGATGGTATAAAAGTTTACGATCAAAAAAGTATAAGTAATTTTATGAAGGTTTATGGTATAACTCAAATATAGACCCAATTTCCAGCTTCAGTCTCGACACTAATTATTCGTAAAGTAAAAGTGTCAGGATTAAATATTAATTATTTTAACCAATTAAATTTACTAAACAGGTGGTGAGCATAATAAAGTTTAAAATCAATTCAATTATAAATCAGAATTATCCGAACCTTGTCAACAAAACTTACTTATAATTTGTATTGGGCTTAATAATTAGGGAGTAAGTATTGAATTAAACCGTACTTTGCTGTTTCAAAAGATTTATCATTGACAGTTGCTAAATTGATAACAAATTACCAGTGCGTAAGTATAAAATTAATTGCATTATTATAAAGTGAATTGATTGAATTTTTAACGATCATATAAACATTAAATTAGATGGTAAATATAATAATTTTCATTAACATTACATAAAAACAATATTTTAATATTTACGTACTAATCGGTTCTATACACTAAATTAGGCCGTGAGTATAACATCCACCTACTGATATTTATAAAGACTATGTATTATAATAATTACATACTTGATAAATTAATAGAGAGTAAGTACAGAATTCAATAAGAATTGCATTTAATAAAAATTTCACTAACGAATGGTTCTCTCAATTACGGTACATTATCCAGTGTGTAAGTATGCGGTTAACTTATAAAACTATTGATTTGCCATTAATTACCTTTAAATTAATTGGATGTATAATAATTTAAAGAAAGTAAGTATAAAACTTAATTACCACTAATTAAATAAATCGGGATTTTCGTAAGGTCTTCCCTTTAAATTAACCATGCTTATATTAAATTACTAGTCCGTGAGTATGGATCCTGTTACGAAATTGATATTTACCGATTATTAATACTAAATCGAATTATTTGTATGGTCAAGCGAGTGAGTATAAAGATATTTGTTTAGCAAAGATATCTGTTGAATGTTCATCCAAATAATTAAAAATATGTTAAAAAGATGTAAAATTAAAGTATATTTATTATCTTTCTAATCAACAAATTTACAGGGAGTGAGTATAAAGTTTATTCGAATTTAGTGTTGATAAGAATTTCATTATCATTTACACATATATTGAATTAGGTGGTAAGCATAAAATTATAAAATTTAACTTTATTCCTTTTTTATAAAAACTGTTTTACAAGAACTTTTTTTTATTCGAATTAGGTGGTAAGCATAAAATTTAACTACACTGACTTACAGAATTAGAATATAATACTATTATATTTACTTGCATTGAAGGAAGTGAGTAAAATATTCATTCATAAAATAAATTTTCACTCTTACTATTCTTAACAAAATATTTGTAATTTAATAGCTCGTAAGTATACGATTAATATCTAAACAAGAATCTTATAAGATCAGTATTAAACACTACTTACATCTTGTTAAATTGACAGTTCGTAAGTATTAAACGTTTATGGCAAAAATGGTTTTAAAAATAGGTTTTAATATCAGCTATAATGTTCATTCCTCTCTAATTAATTACAGTCAGTGAGTACAAGTCTTCGTTATAATTCGTCGTCTTATAAATCATATTAATATTCCAATAACATATATTAAATCACTAGAGAGTGAGTATACAGTCATGTTTTCTTTAATTTTTACCATTCATACAACAAGGATCATCTCAATATAAATAATTTTTAATTTAGTCGGTGAGTGCAGCTTTGTTTGATTGTCATTTAAAAAAATTTCTCATTAACACTAAACTGTATAATTAAAAGAGAGTGAGTATAAAACTTAAGCTATATTCAGATTTACTCAAACTTGTTGAACCTGAGTTGTTTTTAATTGTTTTACAATTACTAGAGAGTAAGTATGAAGTTCATTACTAAAGTATTTAAAGTTGATATCATTTTCTTACTCAATGTGGTCAAAATTATTAGTGCGTGAGTATTGATTATACCAATTTATAAAGTGTGTTTTAATTATCTAATAATTAACATACATCAAATTAGACTGTGAGTATAGTATATGATTATTATCTATAAATTGGTGCTTCATAAAAATTTACAATATTTAAAATTTTTAGAATGTGAGTATAAGTTTCAAATATATTCAACATCCATATAATAAAAAGTTTCTGTGAATGTTACATCATTAATTAATTGCAACGCAAATTACGTAAATTATATAAGAGGGTGAGGATAAAGTTCAATTTATGAAATTATTATTTCTTAAAGTGTTTATTTAATTGACTTTTTGATTGTGTTCTAGGAGGTAAGCGTAAATCATTATTCTCGAACTTAAACTAATTAATCAAAAAATAATGAATTCTTAATAAACAATCAAGATCTCCTGGTAATGGAAAATGTGATATTTGTAATCTATATAACACTACTCCCCGCTGGTGCCGGACATGCGATCCTAAATTAGCGACACAAGGATGGACGAGTGGTGTGGAAGGAATTGATGATATTATTAAAGAGTTTCAGCTCCAAGCCCCAACATACTCTAAATTAATTGAATGGATTCCATTTGATAGACTAAGAGATATACATATAATTGGAAAAGGTGGATTTAGCTCAGTATATTCAGCAATCTGGTTAGATGGCATACGAAAAATCGAAGGAAAATATGGCAACTACATCAGATCACGTGATGAATCATGCATCGTTGCCCTCAAGAATTTACCTGATTTCGAAACTGAAAATTTTTTAAAAGAGGTTAGTCGAGATATTATCATTATCCTA